TTTCTCATGAACCCAAATACCTTTGATGCTGACACTTTTGGGTAAATCTTCCAGTCTAACCACTTCTTTCTAGTCGTTATCACGATTTACCCGTTCAATAAGAACCGTGTCATGCCAAATTCTTCGAAGATAGAAGCAACCCAAGAACATCCACTCTACTCCACATAGTTGTCGTTCGTAAAAACAAAATTCATCTTTAGACTTTGATTTATCATCCACAACCTTTAGACTAATTGTTCATTTCGTAGGTTTTCGCCATCATTACAATATCTTTGGTCTGACTGCCACAATACCAAACTCATTTTCTGCAAATCGCCATGTTTTTGGGGCAACAACGCCAGGATTAATAATTGGCTGCAGATTTGGCAGTTGTACCCTGAGGTGTAGACGAGAATGATCGCCAGTGCTAGATTTGTTCAATTACCCAAACTCAACTCAATAGGCCTCTACACTTAACCAAACCTCTGTTCGCTATTCAAGCTACCTGCTAATTCTAGTCTCACATCCTACCATATTTCATCTCTATATTAGTCAACACTTGTGAGTACACCACATCTTGGGTTAGAACTGACGCTCTTAGCAAACAGCTTTGCCACTAACTTAACTGAGACCTCAGATATTTGGTTTATGAAAAGGCAACTCACATGTTCCATTTAACATGTTTGCATAGTCCGTGTTCCAATAATTCAGGTGCCTACAATGAAAGTGATCGTAATATCTAACCACCACACGACTCGCCGAGATCATGCTAAACGGTTTGTCTCAATACGCCACTGATAAAAATTGCCTGACATGCGACACAAGTTAAAGCACATTAATTCCATCCATTCCGCTGTCTCACAAGGTCTAGGAATGTAGGTTTATGGCAATGCAAATATACGTCCCATAACAGTGTCAACCTGTGGTTCCCCATGAGGGTAAAGACTAGAATGCTCATCCTGAGACAAGAAGCATGCAGTCTGTGGAAATAATGTTGTACGTACGTCTTGTTTTCAAAAGATTCCAATATGCCCAATCTTGAGATGTCGCCGATGCCAGTGTTTACTTTATACGGTCCGGTAATCGAGTTGTTGAGCTGAAAGAAGGAGAGGTGCATTAGTCTGGCGTTAGGTGGAATTGAGGACAATCGACCGGGGTAAACCCACTTTAACATTGCATTCCTTAAAGCACTTTATTATTACTTGAAATCAAATATATCTCCGAAATCCGTGGGTGCAGCACATCGTGTTTTATTTAGGCCCGTAAGCTTGGGACTGGGATTAGGCCGGCGTGGTGATTTTAACTTGAAATTTGTTCAATCTGTGTGTTTATTTTAAACCCATCGCAGTATTGTGTAGCCGCTATAATTACCATCTCGAAGAATGACAACGTCTGTGAGTTGCACACACACCCACACTTGGACTTGAATTCCAGGCCTAGCAGCATAACCACTGCTCTGAGCTGTACTGGTCTCGGAGACTCTAAACAGCTTTTGATCTGTTAAAACTATTTTTTTAGAATCCGCAATGACACGCCCACTTTGTTTCAGTTTGCACAATGTTGCATCTCATCAGAGGTCTGTAATATAAGTTCACGTCTGATTTTGTAATCTGTACTAGTATAATTGGTTAGTCCACTATTCAGCAAATGCATTGTACAAAAGCTAGTAGGCATGTTAGTTAAATGCCCGGCCACATGAGCCTTTTAATGTTGGACAGTGGTCAGCATGGGGTTGCAAACCCTAGCCATTCTACCCAAAATCAAGTTTTTTTTTCAGTTCATTTAACCAATTTTCTGAAAACACCGAGATAGCATCTGCTGAACGTGTTTTCGGATGTGAAACAGTTGAAGAATGGATGTTAAAACGTTAGCAAGGCATGGAAGCACTTACTGCAATTAGTACACCAGCCCGTCCCGAGTCGGAATACTTGAACCAACTCAGCCACCACAAATCCGAATCATCGTATCCCCAGAGAAAGTCATTCACGGTGATGTTAATAAACATCTTTGAACTAATGAACCACTTCGCAAGTGATCCAATTTTACCTTGGCTTTCATCAATAATATATCGAATGATCTACAAAATATGAAGACCGCCTATGTTAAAAAGTGTCAAAATCGTCACTTTCCCGTTGTATTAATATTTTTTCATAATTTTGTAGGAAAATTATTTATTAAAGGACGAAACACTTTATGTGGTTCAGATTGTCACTTGGAGAGTGATCACATGTGAATTCGAATTTACTTTCTGCGATTTATTTTACACCCAATTTGGTGGAGCTCAATGTTTCTACCAACCTGCATGGAGATAAAAACTGAAGGTATTCATCATGGATTTACTTTAATCGGACTTAAATTTTTGGCTAGTCAATAAGTTAGAAACCCATATAAAACAGAAATAAACAACAATTGCCAACGTAGATGTGCGGAAATTAAGTGAGCACTTATCAACATTTCATCGGTCACAAGTGTCAAAAGACGTCACTTGCAAAACCATTTAAAGAGTGCATTTGCATGCATATCCATGGGAATTAACAGCGAATTTGTTAAAGTGTCGTCAGATAATTTCAATCCAAGGTCGAACATGTGGCTACATCGGAGCTCATTCAAAGTAGCACTTTGGGTCAAGTGGGCAACGGTCAACAAAATCGTCACAAATGTCGCGTTCACTGACTCCTTCAAAATGGAGGCGAGCTGATCGGTACCAGATATTGTCGACACCAAATATAAACGACGTGGTGGCGTTCGCCGACACATTCTACGGCGTTAGTATTTCAGTGTCCACTAGTTTACCACAGACTACCATCTTTTAGCAACGTTACCACTCTCTTCCCTTATTCAAGTAGTTGATGGCCCCGGAAACTCAAACTGGAATGCAATGCAGAACACAGATCATTCAAACACTAGTTGTTGGGAGAACCATTTTGAGTGATGGGCAAACGTGATAGCATTTTTTATGGCATTTAATGCCATCTATTACATTCAAAGTGCCCTGCTGGTATAAAACATACTTAGCGTTAGAACAAACCGTAAATTGGCTTACCGAGTTGGCCAAATTTGGCACAGTGATGACGGTTTCATTTGCATCGTCAGAAGAGAGGTTTAAGTTGAAGTGATAGGTCGTGTAATCCACAAACTGAATATATCTTCTTCCATCTTCCACGGTTAATGTTACGTTTCTTTTCTTCACAATTTTTCTGCATTAAACAAAGATCCCCATTGTCAATAGCACGGAAAGTGAACACACACTGCGATCAGTCTGAAAAATCTCGATTGCCTTAACTGCACCAGTTTACAGAGAATTATACACGAAATCCAAGAGAAAACGATGATTCGATCTAATTAACCAACGCTGATGACATCGTTTTGCAAATCTTGCTAGCGTTTTGGTTTCACAAACCTAAGATGTCAGCATGTACAACACACAATATGGGTAATTAAGACAGGCAGTTGTGGCTGCTGCATCACTTTTCTGAAGTGAGCTTATTTACAGTGCTGCTGCTGCTGCCCCGAACGATTTCCAGATAGATGATTTCAGTCAATCCTAATTGCCTTAATCGCGTAATCGGAAATTGCCAATTTCATTATCATAAACTGATGCTACACCCGATTGGTCAACTGGGGATTGGTAGACGTGAAGGATCCATTATTTTTCCGATCCTTTTTCAACAAAGTATAGTCAATTGTAGGACAAAGTAAACACGTGAACTCTAACACTTCAGAGAAGATATGTGTGGGAAAGTAGGAAACGTAAGCACGAGAATTGGAAAATGCATGCCGCGTTTACTTATAACATGGAGCTTAACAGAAAGAACTATCACGTAATTAAGTTACTCACCTGTAAACATAAGGCCCGTATGTCTTAAGCCTTGGTTTTGCCTTTTTATACTGGACTTCATATGGGTTTATGACGCTCATGACGGTAATGTTAAATAAACCTTCGCTGTCCTCAGTTAACACGCGGTAAGTAATTGAACCGTTGGTGATCTCAAGGTTCTGCAGTAGAAAACAAGGATTAACTTTTAACTGAACCTTTAACTTAAAGTCGTTCCTTGAAAGGTGTTACTACTAAGCAGAACTGGCGGTCCCAACTGTGCTGATAAAGACCCGTGGCGGTCGCACTCTCGAGTAATTCGCTTACATCATCACCGCGTAGGCTTCAAGTGGCTGGTCGCAACAGGTAAACCACATTTGTCTGCACGTCAAATTAACTTAACACCAAGCACCTAACTTGCATTGAGGGCGGTAATTTCACAAACATTCGTGGTGAGGTCTGAGCTTAGTCCTTTGTTTCTGGCATAGATGCTGTGTTGCCCCACGTCATGGAAATTCAGGGCCGATCTGCATGTATACAATCACTTGTGTGGTATTCAATTACAAATGGGTATTAAATTTGAACGAGAGCGTCTACTTGTCAAGCCAGAAAAACGTGTTGGTGTAGTTTGGTAGGAGGCTTTGTTTTAAAAACTTTGCTCAATTAAACCACAGCCACACATCCCAAGCAGCTGTGCTTGCGTGCTGCACACGCCCTATCGTCAAAAGGAAAATCGTCTGGCAAATTGACAGCAAAAATCACAATAATGCAACACAAACCTTTACAAGCTCGCGCCTTTCCAGATCGTCGAAGAGAAAGTCGAAGGCAACAAGACCGCTGGCAGCCAGCAGGAAGAAAGCAATGAGCAAGTATGTCGCTGCACGGCAGCATCGCGAGTGCCAGCAGCAGATCTTACCTGCAAAATTACACAAGTCTCAAATCGCGTAAATGTCTGCACACAAGGATGCAACAACAGCAAAATATTCAAAACAAAGTTAAAAAAGTTGTGCCAAGCTCTCAAGCTTGTTAGCCTGACACGACAGATTGTGGGTCGTGGGTTTCCACCATCACAATCTTGATTCCTTTTTCCTTGTGGCACACCGGGTAAAGCACAATGCGTTGCACGCCTAGCGTTGTGACGGTGAATTATTGCAGTAATGAGTAGCATCACAATCGTGACTTTGATTCAGCTTAGTTCAGCTACACACTCCGGGCTGATTTGGTGGAACAGGAAGGGCCAAATCAGCACAGTTGGGTTTATGCTCAGGTCTATCAATTCGATGACGAGGTATCTGAGCATTTAGGCACAACATGCAAACAGAGGTGCTTAGGATGCCACAGTGCATGATGTTTTGAACAAAGCCAATGCAGGCTGTGGCACAAATAAGCCACTTAGTAGTCTTAATCTAGAAATGGGATTCCATGGATGTGTTGCTGCTAAATTGAACAGATTCTTCCACCTCCGACTATGCACATTTCAATCATGTACAAAGAAGTAATTTGCAAAGACCCACATTCCCAACATCATCGTTTCGGTGTGAAATCTTAATTATTCAGATGTGCACTTCATATCACGCTATGTTGTAGTGGTGTAACATTCGCATTTACTGCTTTTGCGCTTGCCAGACGAGGCGGCAATTAGCACCATGACACATTCGCGCAATTCGATTCACATTCAGTCTGTCGAAATTGGTAAAGCGTTACAGTGACTGCCTATCAACCTCCTCTTTATTTCTTCTGCGCGTGTGCTTCCCACTGTCGTTTCCCAACTCAGCTTCGTTTTCAGATGAATGTAAGACATTAGCTCGAAATTTTGAGGTTATAATAGTGCATCTCTCGCTTGGAACGCATAAGCGAGGAATCAACATACATGATCACATTCTTGAAATCTGCACAAGCGTATGGTTCTTGCTAAATTTCGTTTTTAAAGAAAAAACAGGGTGACGCCACTAATTTAACTCATGCTAGTGATTCGAAATAAAAACAGACATTACAAGTGTGACACTGAGGACGCTTGACAGCGTAACACATTCCGCTTATTTCGAATATGCACTTGTACTTCGACCTGTGAATCCCTTTGGTTTGTTACATAAATGTTGGCAATTATGAAAATTTTCAATTACAATAATTGCCAAAATAAAAGAGCAATTTCAATGTAACAGTTAGCATTTCTAAGACGTGTTTGTATTTGGATGGCTAGGTTTTATTTCTGTGAGAGAATAATTACTTATCTGTAGCCTACGACCGTTATTCGCTGTTACAAACCCACTTTCTGTGATGCAACTGCTCGTTTACTTGGAAGCAGCAGCAATTCATGACAAGTCTCTATGAGGTATAGCTTCAGAGGGTTTCAAACCTACCTGCTAGTATTATCGAACAATGGAAGCGCGATGTTTTTAGTAGAGATAAAACCACTTACGGCAATGCAACATCGTATTCGAAAGCGCGACGGTCGTCAAGTGAGGAACGGAAGTCTGACCCGAAGCCATGGGTACTTATAGGGGAGGAGGCGTGTTAGCCCTCATGGGCACATGAGTGCGCATGCACTCAAACGGGGATCGAGTACACGACCTTGAAACATCTACTCAAGTAAAAAATACCTCAAATTTGTTTTCTTTCCACAGTCCCTGATACGTGAGGCACATTTGAAATCTATGTTCACACTCTCAACTGCGTGACAGGGGTGCATCAAGAAGACAGAATTGACAGGCAAACATGCAAAATAGGTGAATATTTCCAATATTTTAAAGAATACGTGCATGAATGATTGCAGCTTGCACCCAAACAGACAGACTTGTCGAAATCGAGAACAATAAGTGGAGTAAAAAGAGCAAAGATTAAACGGCAAATGTTTTCGAAAAATGGGGAAAGGCACCGCTAGTGGTGAATTTGACGGGGCCCCCAACAAAACCAGTACAGTAAAACTAGGGATAAATCACGCAACACATGTACAAATTACTTTCGTCAAGTCCCCTTTATCAACTGACGCTTGTTAAACATCGTTCTGGCGGCATCAGATCAAACCTGGCTACTGAGAGATTGCAAGTGTGTCCGAAAATGAGAGGGATGTTAGGGATGGAGCATTCGGCAAGAGAGCTCACAGCTAATTTGGGTTTTGTCATTGTTTACACAGCTTTCCTAAGCACGCCACTTAACTGGTTCAGTCACTTAAGGCACCCCACTGACAGCCCCATCTCTCTTAATCCGCCTTCGTGCATCAGGTCAAGGTCATCCTCAAATAACAAATAAGTGGACACATTGTGCCACATCGCTCGGCCTTTGGCTGAGACAGAAGAGGCTCTCTGCACAAGGTCAGGTCTTAGTTCTTTACAGAGACGATGGAGTAGAACGTCAGACAAGGGATCTGATGTACTGGTTGCCTTAGCGTGTGCTTCTGGTTATGGGCAAAATGTACCAAGACTCTTGAGATATGCCTTCATTTCGGCCTAACTTCGCTCTAAGTACTTCGCTCAAAAAACTGTGCTTGAACGCAGTGACAATTTATCTGAAACGGAAATCACTGCTTCTACCGCACTAACTTTGTAATATGGAACCAGCTGATGAACATCAGTACTCGCTGTGTACACCTGGTTTCAGTGGTATTTTTAATTTAAAATGTTCCAAATTGCATAATTAGTGACATGGATGTGAATTTGTGTGCATGCATTTTTGGCACGCTGTCCGAGCATAGACTGAAGTTGCTCCTGGTTAATGCAAAGAAGTCGTCAGTAAATCTAAAAGACACCAGCTGTATTGAATACAGAAACTTGACACTGTTCCAGACTACTTACTGAATGATGAAATTTGAATTTTGAGAAGTGCTTTATTCGGAGTAGGCAAAACAACTGGTGCCAAACTGGTGCAGTCGATGGTTTGTCGTCAAGATAATTTAATGACAATAAAATATCAGAAACCATTTTTAAATTTTCGCTAATTCATTCGTGTATGACTTGTTTGTTCACTTCAGGAAATGATGCCATTTGAAAGGATGGATTTGTCACAACTGGGTAGCTGATTTCGACCACAGACACCTACGTGAAGGCGTCTTGTATGGAACTCTACCCATGTCTTTGTATGAATCAATCGCAGTTCGGTCTGTTTGCGTCTTCTAAGGCTAAACTGCCTACAGCCGTTCGTGTCATTTATTAGCTACTTGTGAATTACCCTCAAATGATCACCACTTTATCCCAATTGAGCCAGACTGGATACATCAAGGTCATCTCAAACGACGACGACGACTCAGCAGAATGACGGTACACCCTAGGAAACCGGTCGACTGTGTATTCGGGCCCACATTGGCTTCATGCTGAACACACCCGCTCTAACGCAGGTTTGGTGCATCAACCCGCTTCCCTCCTTCTTTACTTTCCCAAAATGAATCGCCAGGTGTCCAAACCCGCCTAATTACGGAATCAATAAAACAGGCGCCATGAAAACGCATTAAGTTCATGCTTAGTTGGTGTGGAATATAGTGTGCGCATGCAATGATGCTTTGTTCACCCCAGATTTTCCTTCAGACCTGTTCTCTCACGCATGCCAAAATTTCAACATTGAGTACTTGTGTACTTGATGCTGAGGCAAAACAAAGAATTAAAATCGTGTCAGATGCGTACCGGTGTTGTCAACAGCGTTTGTGCTTCCCATAAGTCAAACCAACAATCACGTCCCTAACATTGTATTACAAATCAGTATCTGTAAATTGGCTTATGTTTATTGCTATTAAACCGTGGCTAATGAATGCATTTGTATATCAATGAAATTTACTTAGTAATATGTGTTTATTTAACAATTCATTACTCCCTGGTGTCCACAATAAGATTAATTTGATTTAACCGTGTGATGCCATGGAAACATTGAATTACCGAATATCAGGCCGGCTTTTTTTTAACTTCGTTGCCAGAAATTATCTCTATATCGGTTTCACCTAAACGATTTTCCTTTCTTTTCTGGTAGTGCATCTTTGTGTATCGCTTAATAACCCTCAAGTCTTTCAATGAACCATTCCACCTATACACTAATTTAACTTGACTGCAATGCTGGAAAACTCGTATTTCCAGGAATGATTTGTACGAATCAATTAGAAAAACCAGGTGGCCAATGTGATTCACAAGTCTACGGTAGTCCATGACTAACCTTATCTCTTTACGCAGACACTGCAGTTTTGATGTAGGGAAAAACTATGATATGGCAAAACCACCAGACAAACGTGCTGCCAAAATAAATGATGGTTATATTCGGACTAACACCTACTTACCAGCTACAAGGCCAGTTTTAAAGGTCACCTCAAAACCCATCCCTCGTCAGCCTTCTGCGTCTTCTCTAACCTTATTAGTTGCAATCGATCGTTCAGGATAACGCGGTTATTTGCCTTTGTCATTGTTAAGTTTTGCATTTGCGAGCTCTAGTTTTGTTCTCTTTTAGTCGATATGAGCACGCTTACATGAATACTGTGACCAGTATGTCCTGTGCTATTTCTTTAACAGATATTGGTTTCATGCAAACTTAGTGGTTGATGGAATTTGTGTTGTATTACAATGAAATAATATTACTACCAATGAACTTCAGTACAGACATTTATCATGACCACATTGCAGCTGCACAAACCCTACTGCCGGCTTTTCAGTAATCATGTTGGAGAAAGGCTTGCCAATTGCGTTTGCTTAGGGTGAGAGCTCCAATGAAACCTGCTGAGTCGAGCTTATCAACCCAACGCCCTGCCCCCCATTTCACGGCGTCCGTCAGACATGCGGAACCGTCAGCTCATGTGCCTCTGGGTTTGTACCCTTCCCACTTTCCGCTTCATGCATCTGGTCATTTGGTCGTTTGTACTTTTACAAGTTCTCACCCAAACTGGAGAAGCAACAATTGCGTTAGGCATACACGACTGTGAACGTGCGCGCGCGCGCACGCACGCACACAGCACAACTTGGCTGTTGTCCGATAAGCGACTGACTCTCCTGTCTCATTTCTGCCTCGGGTACTTCATGCTGTCTTACCGCAGCATCTCCATCACTGAGAGTAATTAGTAGCGTAGTATCAATGTATAAGGCCCAAACTAAAGGCAGGCCAGTAGATGGAATTAAATACGACATTCACGATTCAAGGAAATGCTTTCAACAAAATTTGTAGTAAATTTTAAACCAGAACCTAAGGTGGCAAAAGTTCTCATGACAGAAATCTGCTGTGTCGCAATGTTTTGAATTTCAAAATCCGACAATTCCACATTTTATACTCCCGAGGTCATGTAACATGTGCTGCTACATCAGTATTAGCAATTAATAAAGGGTTTTTCGATGATCTGGCCAAAAAGTAATAAAAGCGAACTGTCTTCCGTTAAGGTTTAGGAGAGAAGTCTCAACCAGGGTTGTTGCTCGCAATTTTACTCAATGAATTTCAGTACGAAATGACATGGGTCCACAATGACCCCGACTACTCTTCTGGATTTTTAGGCATTTTTTTAAAATAATTGTTTTACTTTAACTATTCTTTGTCTTTTACGCAGAAAGTCATCAATATCACTTTTCGTATGACGCTTTTGGCTTAGTCACGACTTGCGAATACACAACTTTACTGACGATTTCGTATTCCTCTACTCTATAACTTGTGGTTTAATTTGAGGTAAGTCACAACAGCCCCTAGCTCTTCACCGTAAACAAATTAGGAAAAACTGGGGGTTTTTTTTCGGAAACAGTTTGAATTAAATTTTTCAAATGTGCATCGACTTTTCCTTTTATCCACAAAATTGAGCCATAGATTATTATTCCTACGAGGCCGATGATGACGCAGCTTCTCTCAGAGCCATTTGCGCCACGTGGATCTATTTGGTTTCTGGTAGCTTGTCGTACTATCGTTTCCGTCAACCCTACGTCTGACTCTTCGCGAACCCTACTTCAGTGCCCACTGACTTTAGACGAAGACGTCTGGAATTTACCTCGAGTGCGTGCACTTTACCCACAACCCCGTCAGACGAACTTCATCCAGTAATACACACAAGGGCAATTTCCCATCTTTTGCACTTCCGGAACCATCAGCAGTTTCCAGGACATTGAATGCACACTACACACCTAATTTTGGCTCACCGTGCAACACTCGGTCTTGTCTGCCCCGCACGAGGTCTCCTTATTTCCATCAGGGTATTTTATGTCGTACCAACTATCCCGTCGGTATTAAAAATGTCACTGTTGCTAACACGTCTAATCCTACTAAAGGGTTTTGATCCAACATTACCTTCAAATGTGGCCATAGTGATTATGATGTGATTTTGAAGTGTCTCTATCCACTTTATTGTGCTTAACCATCTGTGATTATGGTGACGCATGAACGCATTCTTGCATACTTCAGCTTACAGAATTGTTTTGCGCTGACATCCAACAATGTCGATCCGTAATTTTGTTTAACCCCTCTTCTCTGATTTTCAAGTAAGCAAAACCGATCGAATCATCTCGACCACGATGCCATAAAGCATCCATGACCCTTTATTTTCAACCTCTTTTAAAATGTTTGTATTCACTTGCGCCAACAAACTCAAAAAAACTTGTTATTAAATTATAGAAAATAAACATGCTAATGAAAGGTCTTTGGTATAAATGAAATCCAAATTTATGAAATTAGATTGTAATATGCCATGGCCTTCTAACACACATATTGTGCTCAAACAAAATAACTGGACAGTCTTTGTGCATATTTTCCATACCGTGAGCAGCGATTTCCACTGACGTCTTTTAATTTGAACAGAATACTTTTTGTAAAAATTTGCTTTGAATTGGGACAGGTAAATACAAAATATAAAAAAATCAAAGGTTAAATGTTCTTCCCGAAATTTTCTCCTGTTCGTTAACTTCGGCCGCAGTCACTTTCGCGTCAATAAGGTACTTGGAATCACTGCCGTTCAAGTGTTGCTGAATGACAGCGGCCAGTATTAGCGAGAAAGCCAGAATAGCAAGAATGCTAAAAAGCACCCTTACTACCATGCGAATCGTCTGTGGAAACGCGTAAGCCGCATTGTAGAGGCTCTCTGCACCCTCCCTGCTCGCTACTTTGACCTGTGAGGCGGATGAGAAAACAGAACGTGAGAAAAACTCAGTTAAAATGTTGAAAAAGCTAACTTCAGCACCACAACCAACAAAGCATTCCCCTTTAGCATGCACATCAAACCCTTTGAAAAGCAACGTGGCCGCGAAAATGGCATGTCAGGCACAATGCAGGCAAGTAGATGCAAGGCGAGTACTCACTTCTCGAATAATTGCCAGGGGATACATCGTGTCATTCGCTGCACCATATTGCCTAGTAAATAAAAACCATGTAGATGATTAGTGCTCAGAACAATGAGGAGTTTGTAACAAGAGAGACGCCGACGAATAGCATCTTGCCATTATTAGGATCGACCGGATGATTTCTCACTAGCTTTTTTGTTGTCATTAACTTGTCTGTTTTGACATTTGTGTTCAGCTAATTGAAGTTTTCTGAAATTTACTACGATAGAGAGCTTAAGGTGATTTAAAGGCTAATATGAAAATATCCTGCTGTTAAGTGAATCCACTAAAATTGCCCGGACTAAGCTCTAAGCTCTACTTACCAACACATGCAATAAACATCGAACATAAAAGTAGATTAAATAATACTAAAAAAACTGCATTCATCTGATTGATTGAATTTGTGCAAGTATCCCGAATTTGAGATAATTATCATGCATTTTCATCACTTACGTTTTGGGAACAAGCAAATTAATCTGGTACTGAAGTGTTCCTTCGACAAAGAACCCCGTTTTCTAAAGAACAAGAAGAAGAATAAGGATAGTTCCACACACTCTTGTTAGACAGGTCACATGATGAGTGAAGTGAGGACACAGCCATGAATGAAGGTAAACTCTACTGGACAAATGGACATCATTTTCACCCTTTTCAACAAAATTATCAAGATTGGGCCAAGTGAAGTGCAAAAACAGATTCATAGGTTGTTAAAGAGCCCGTAGGAATGACACATTCACACGATTCAAATGTTTTTGCCTCAGATGGGGTGTTTCATTTGTTTTTTCTTTCATTTTTTTCATTCAAGAATGGTTAACTTCTAATCATTGCTGTTTTATTTGCATTCGCAATCAGTAATAGAGCTTGGAACTTCAAAAGCAACTTTACCGGATCCACTTTCACTTGGGGAATTGCACCAGGTTCAGTGCCATTCTCGAAAATGATGGCGTCTCTTACTTCGTCCGCGGCTCTGTTGAAGTAAGGCAGAGAAACGAATAGAGGTTTGTTACCGCTAACAGACGGCAGAATGCAGGGACTCAAAGACAACACTCCTGATGGCGGGTACCTGCCTCCTGGGTACGATTTATTGTGGAAGCCCGCGTTGTCCGGTCTCTCGTCGGCACTGTCAAAGGCCCCATCATCAAGCTCCAGGACGAGCAGCTACAAAAATGTTGGCATGCACGTCTTAGTACAGCACCTCACTCGATGGTTAGGCAAGCAGCTCAGGCGACCTAACCAGCAGAAAGTGAAATGGTGGGGCGAATGGCTACGTCAGTTAGCTTGTTACGACAACCGTAAGAGATGAGTTCTCTTTAGCTGATGGCTTATCATCCATCATAGTGTGCGCAGTGTTCAAACAACAATGATGCGATGCTTCAAAGTGGGTATCTTTGTGCATGCAGAAACACCAACACGATCACTGGGAAGAGCTCGTCAGGGCACAAAGTACCACTGTTTCGCGAATCGGGCCAATAAACACGTCTGACCTCCTATGTTGTCCTATAATTGGGCTGTGTCAGCATAGGGAGCGTGACACTTTGGATGGCACTTTGATTGACATGCCTACGCACACCTGCTACTTGTAAGGCCGCACCAAATGGTTAATATGGCAACTGTGATAGGCTAGTTGCCATGTCATTGCATTGCTGCGCATAACGGTACTTAAATCGTAGCCAGAGCTCCTACCTTCAGTTTGGGAAAGTTGACTGTGGGCACCCACATCTTCGCAGTGAAGGGAGCCGAGCGGCAGATATTCGTGCCGAATATGTAGCGTTTTTCTCCTAGTTTAACAGAAGGTGGAGTAACTGCATCACCTACAAAGTCAGAAATCATACTAATTGTAACAGTTCACACCTTGGCGACATTCAATTCTCCAGGCCCTAATACCATCAGCATAAGAAGCAGCATATTACAGCAGTTTGCATGGCGCAAGTGCGATTGCGTGTACGTCAGTGAGTGCCAGTACAATCCAACATCTGCAGTCGAAATTCATAATCAAAGGAGGAAATTTAATGCACCAGAGCAAAATGAAAGAACAAAAATAGCTTAGAACAAAACGAAGCTGCACTGAACAGGACCACATGCAGTTCTGTAGGACATGCTGCACTGGCAGCACGCTGAAATAATCCTTGCGTGTCTCAGTAAGAATCAGTCATAAGGGACGTATAGCTTTCAAGGGTGTATTGCATTGGGTTGATCGTTAGAAAAGTCAAGCGAATGCTACTCAGTATATTCTGACAAACCCGATACATTGTGACATCCAATTTAGTTTTTGCACCAAATTATTAACTAGTGAATTGATAGCAAACGTGACGATGATATACCTGTGCAGCCCATTCGGACACCCGAGGCAAACGCCTTTTTTGATTGTTCCATCTCGCCCACCCTTCTGACACATGTCATTAGCACTAGCGACATTTCAAATGCTTGCATTCTTCGCAATCTCGACTAGCCACATGAGCAGCAGGTTGGAAACTGGTGTGTCATGCTCCTTCTCCTCTGATTTGCCATGTCGAACCAAAAGGGAACGACCGCGTTTGCCTGATCCGACACCCGGAATCGCGAGTCAATAGGGGACGGCCATCTGAGACCACCGACCTCACATTTTCTGCGATGCTGCAACGAAATCAACTAAGTTGCTTCGGAGTCTCAAATCAACTGGATCTCCAGGTTATGGTGAACAGGGTGCAGCCATTCGCCTGAAACGAGTTTATTTCTCATGAACCCAAATACCTTTGATGCTGACACTTTTGGGTAAATCTTCCAGTCTAACCACTTCTTTCTAGTCGTTATTACCATTTACCCGTTCATTAAAAACTGTGTCATGCCAAATTCTTTGAGGTTAGAAACAATCCATGAACGTCCACTCTACTC